GAATCCACTTCTTAATTAAATGACAGTTGCAATATTATTTAAATACAATTATAATACTGCACATCTTCAACAGCCTTTAATAGTCCACTGCTAGACATAGGCGTCTCCTTAGAAAAGAAGTTTTGGCCTACTATACCACTCTGGCCAGACGGGTTGGTATAGGGTTTGTTTCAAGTTTTCCTTCTCTTGGCAGTGTTGTTGTCCTGCGTCGTTAGCTCCCTTAGTCGGCTCTTACGACACCCACGGGATGAAAGGGGTGGCGAAACTCCGTATTCTTACTCCGTCACCACACGAAGTAATGTGTTAATACTGCACATATTTTGAAGATATTAAAACTAAAAAGACAGACAACTCTTGTTTCGATTTTCATTATTTCGATGGAAACCGTTTATAGGGTTAGGTAATCCACAACCACACTAAGCTATAAGTATTTAAAAAATTACATTACAAATGCTAAAATATTATTTTGTTAATAATATATCGTAGGTATATCCTCATAATAACTAATAATATTATGATAGAACCCTTTGTTTGCTCGCATTGTATATCTAAATAAATATGTACCTAATTATAGGTCTATGTATTCATATTATTTACGTTTTACATGGTATTAAATTGAAACATAAAACAACGCAAAACTTAAGTTTCTACTATGAATTCTATTATGAATTCTACTATGAATTCAAGAATTTAAAAGTAGTTAATCTATTCTTCGCGCAATGCTTCTGAACCATCATATTTTAAGTCTACATTCTACTTCTACGTTCTTCGTCTACGTTCTACGTCTCTTTTATAGTGCTCTCATTAATCAAGTTTTTTTAATAATTTTCGAGTTTTATTTGTATATAATATTTCACTAGGCAGACTGGAATGGTCGGGCTCTAATAATAATAGAGTAGTAGTAGCTAGCAAATGAAGAAACCAATTATGCTAAAAAATATTAAATTTGAAAGGTCTATCTACGCATGAAAGCGACACTAGAACAATAATCATTTGTAATGGTCCATCTAATATTTTTATTTGTGAAGGTGTCGTTAGTGAGATCATGCACGCTTTGACATAACATAACCATTTGGTTTATAACCTCTATAAAAAGGTGCTTTTATCATAAACACGTCTCAAGAAAATCTCTTCTTCTTATGACGACTGCCATCAGACCTCCACAACCCAAGTACTACGTAATTTCGAAGATTTTTTTAGGGATCCAACTACCCGTAATGATTGCTTAAGATGTTTCTTATGGCAACCAAGACCGAAAGTTTAACATGCTCTGCGAGGCACGGAGGGGCCTCAATGTGTTGAGAAATGGTGACCCATCCTTAGACTGTCCTGGCTAAGATTGTTTAACTTTGCAATGTGTTAACCTCCTCGGTTACCATAGCCACGATCCCAAGAAAGTAAATTGATACTTGAAATTTACAAAAAAAATGTGTGATAAGAAATTCGAAGAGAACAAACCAAAAATTTGTCAAAGTAGGAATAAAGAACGTTCGAAACTGTTCTGATGGTAAAACGATATTTCATTCTAATGAGATTAATATGTTGAATAAATGGATATTGACGCCAAAATCCTAGCACTAGTGATATATCAGGCTACAAAGTAACGTTTTGACTGCGTACTTACTTTTTTTGGCTGATTTTGTCTGTTTAACTTAACCTTTGGTAGTATTTATTGCTTTCATTAGTTTTGGCAAATTAAGATCTTTCTTCTTGTAACAGTTTTACTGTCTTAAGTTTTAAAGGTATAATCCACAATAAAGGAACAACAAGTGTACGATTGCGTCCATAACTTCCAAGGTAAATATTTCGTAAAATATTGATCTATAGCTTATAATTCTTTTTTCGACAAATTTAGTCTTCAATTGACGAAAAGAATAAGGTCTCTAACTTAAGTAGTTGCTGAGATCTCCGTCGCCTCGCAATCCTCCACGTTTTCTTTCGCGCGGCTAACTTAAAGCCTCTTATAACTTCTTTATTTCTACTTTTACAAATTTTACCAAATTTTTGGCGAAGTTTTTTTTTGTTACGTTAAAATGGCAGAGCAATCAAAACACATACCACGCACAGCCGTTCAATCCCAAACTAGACAGCCTATGCTATGGTAAACAGACTATATAAACATGCTAGTACTAAATATTACAGATAAATTATACCCAGACACATAACTAATGATCATATTCGTTAGAAAATTATTTGTCTTGGGCTAGAACCGAACCTTAGACCTCTGTGACCGCAAGAATAAAACAGCTACACGCAATCGTTAAATGATTCACCTACTTTGAAACCGTTTGAGTTAACCGAACCGATACCAGCCGCTAAATAGCCCTTCTGGCGCTTGACTATGCCCGTGTGTGGCTTGGTTTTGCATCAACCACTTTTTACTTTAAAATACTTACTTTCATCTTATAATATATTTTTATCAAAAGTTCGTGAAATAAAGTACCTAATACTTCATTGGTTGACATGTAAGTCCTTTTGAAATAGGTGTTAAGTCCGTTTGGACTTACTGTTTAGTAGCCCAGCGAATGATTTTGCCGTGACAAGTATTTTATATTTATTTTTGGGTTTATGAATATTCAATAGTAAGCATACAGATGGTATAAACAAAATAAGAAATTATTATTTAAATACACCTTGCTAGAAATATACAAGATTGATATTTGGCATTGGTCCAACGCACGAATGTATAAGATCGAAAAAAACAGTGTGTTTAAAGTGAAAATTTATAATATTTTATTATTTTTCATCAAATTAAAATTCATTTAAACAAAAACACCGCTTTATCATCGTCAACAATTTCAATTAATACAATACCTTACCAAATATCTTTAATCCTTGTGTAGTACAAGGATTCAAGGATATTTTGTGTGAGATAATTTAATCATTTATATTATTTTAGGTATAATTGAATTATCTCATGCTTGACTATTGTGACACGTTTTTATTAGCTTGGTATGTATGTATATAAAGAAATCTTTGAAAGTGATTTTGAACCAAAAAGTAGGAAATAAACAAGCGTGGGGTGCTAGCTCTCAATTCTTGTAAAAATATTTTACTGACGGATATTGGTAAAAGTAAAGTTATTTTAATAAAAAAAAAACACTGAAAAGCGCTTTTTTGTGATAAAATGATTTTTCTTTTTGAACTTATTTTTTTCCCTTTCCTACTTTCTAGTTCGGCTAGCTAAGAAAGCATGTTTTTTAATTTTTTTAAACTATAATTACTACTCTTATAATTACTTGAATATTTAGTTTACTTAAATATAGGTCCGTAAAGCTCGTATGCCAATTATGTTAATAATTTTGCACTATTACATGTACTGCTGGATCTACTTGTGTCTTAAAACCTACTGATCTCGATTTACTATAATCATCATATAGCAGCTTATTAGAACTTGAGATGGATACTCAGTAGTACATAAAAAGTAGAAAGTGATAGCTGAAATAATATCCAGAAGGTATCAGAGTATGAAATGCACTTCATTTTAAGTACCTATACCTTATGAGAGTACACATAATTTGAAGGGTAATAGTGCATACCTTTTGAGAAAGACTTCAAACCCAACCTGTCAATGGTTCTAAGAAATAAAGTGTTTTTTATTAATATTCTGAATGATTTAAAAATAAGTAATCTAACATGCGGTATTACAGGCTGAAACCTCTTTATGTCTAACAGTGGACCATCAAAGCCTGTTGATGATAATGATGAATGTAACATTAAAATTAAATGTTTGCAACGATAAGAAGATTCTAACTGTGAATAGTCTGCTCATCATATCCTCTGGGAATGTAGTCTTTGGTAAAATGAACGTAATATAATGCTAAATAGCTTAAAGGTGATAGCAGGGGCGGTATATTATGGGCATCTTGTGTCAACTAGGGTGAATTTCTGTGCGTTAAGGCGATTCTGCCATACATATTATAGAAATAAAATGTAGCTCACTTAGGACTTATATTATTTTGTGGCTGTGGTGCTTCCCTGTTCAATGTTCCCTTTCGTTGCGGGTTCCAAGACAGTTAAATTTTTTCCTGGGACTTCTCGAGTGTCACAACTCGGTGTGTTTGTGGGTCACTGTTGTTGATCCTGGTGTGCAGGAGTTATATTGGTGGGCGTGTGGGAGGGATTAGTCCCATAAACAAAAAGTGATAGTGCGTTTTATGTTGAACAACAATATATTTGCCTGACCCAATACATTTTCAGACTGGATTGTGTCCATAAAGTTTGAAAACTTTTAAGACTTTCACATTTATATTTACGACGACATAAACTATTAATATGTAAATTACTTGTTATTTGAAATATACAGTTGTACCTAGCTATTAAGTTGATACAAGACATACTAAAGTCAATACTAACTTGAGCTCAAGTTAAGTTTATCCAATCTGATATGTGTTAATATAAATTTTTGAATTCAATAATTTACCTATCACAAATAGGGGATAAATCCTCAAAAATAATACAATGAAATTCTGACCCCAAAGTAAACTAGACAAACTTAAGCGGCTATACATTTCTATTATAGATTTACGACAAGGTATATTTGGACTTCGTAAATACGATCATGTCTGTCTATGAATGTTTAAAAACTTTGAAAATGTTACCCATTCTTCTTAGCTAGGACAATCATACCGTCTCTTTGTTATACAGTAACCGCTCAAACCTTCAGGCCTTTTTATTTAAAAGTATGATTTGAATTCTTCGTCCGAAAATCTCAGTCATCTGAGAAAATCTGAGATTATTAAAAATGCCATCGTATTTTATGGCATTTCTTTTACAAAACATTCAACGTTTCATCTTATTTCAATGTATCGTCTACTCTGATAGATTCTAGTAAATATATGTGTATACATTATGTTAATGTTAGAATTATGTATGTTTCAATTTTTATTATCATTGTTTTATACAGTTAGAATATACATGCATTACGTCAGAATATTCATATTTTAAATATTAAAAGTAAATTTATATTTCAGTGAACCTGCTTTCGCGAGGTGATCGTAATGGGGTTCGCAGTGAGCGGAGTGAAATCCGCTTTATGGCTATCTCTTCTGCATGGCTTCCTTTTCCTCATCGGTAAGTACCTCTGTGATATGTTCCATATTTCAAAGTCATTATTGCCTTAGAAATTAATACCTTTTATGAGATAAAGTGAAATTAATGTACATTAATGTGTATGTTTCGTGTTCACCAAACAAAAGAAATGAGTCTGTAATCGAGTTTGTACAGTTTTACGCAAGAAATTGTTGCTCAAAATTGTACTTGGCACTTTTGAAAACTTTATAGTCAAGTTTAGAATTAGTCAATTAACTTAAAGATAATTGAGGAACCGTTAAAGAAAACATAAAAATTTGATTGAACTACAGTAACTTTTAAGATAATTACGTTACTTTTTAGTGTTGTAGAGCCGAACTCCATGCAAGTGAAAAGACCATTTTTTGAAACCTCAAATTCAAAAAATATCCTATATTATAACAAATAATGAAAATTATAATGTAACAAAATACTCACTTATGCTGGCCCGCATAAATGATTTCGAACCGCACTCAATGAATATTGCAACAAACACAAATTAAATCTCCAAATATAATATATATAATTTTAATATAAAAACGACTAAAGCTTATCAGGAAATACCGTGTTTGATTATATAATCAAGCTATCATTTTTGAGCCTTTCATATTTATATATCTATTTATTTAAAGCATGAGTTTTCTTTAAGTAGATACTAAGTCTACAGTTGTCTGAGTTTTTAAAAATCGGAGTTGCTTTTTAATTCAGTTTCATCGCTACAATGCGTCTTTCATTCTCTTCAAAATATATTTTTAATTTGACAAAGTTCCAGTAGTTTTGCATAAATGTTTTTAAAACAGTAAGTTCGACATACGTCTGATGTTTTGGAACCTTGTTCCAACTGTTGTTATACTGTATTATCAGATATTTAATTCAATTCAATAAACTAATAGCAATTAGAGAGAGAAGTTTCGTTTTTGGCAGTGGATATTAAAATAAGTATTAGGATATTAGAATAAGCTTAATCTAATATCGAAATAGCGAAACTAATATCTGCTAAGCTGGATTCAATCTTGGCAATAAAGTTCAAGGTTGAAATCTCAAGAACACAATTATTATAATAACTAATGTTATAATTATATCAGGTTTTTAGTTCAAACCAATTGTATTCAATCTCCCACAAACGAGCGTGATTTATCATTGGACAAAATAAAATAAAAATATATATACATATTCGCTACATTTCTCTTTTATCACTTCAAAACCTAAACGACAGCTATATGTAGTACGCGATATACATATCTCACTTTGAATATAGGGACTATTTCTGCAATGCATGGTATGTTACAGTCAGTTTTTCGATAAACGGAAAAATTGTACGGACTTGTTGAAACTGTTTGGTTGAACGCTTTTCAATCCGATTAAATGTCTAGTAAAACCCTTTTACACTTTAGTGTAAAGCTGTAGCGCACTAAAAGGCAGGCGATACGAGTTAATAAAAAGAAATATTGAAAACATTTTTGCAAATTCTTTCTAACATTCGATAAAATACATTAAAAGCTAATAAATATATCAGCTAATTTATCACAATAAGGAAGATTTGCAGTTTTGTTTTTGGTAAGTGCCTACCACCAACCAAACTCAAAATATCTCTCTTTAATTTATTTTATTGTATAAAATCGACCTTTTTGTAGACTCTAAAGTCATATATACACACATACACACAGTTGCAACAATCTCTGTTTTGTTAAATATTTAACAAAATAAATATAATACAATTATACCTATCTGAAATCTATTTTATGCCTGTTCCGATCTACAACCGCCCATTTTAAAGGGGTTGAGTCCATAAATACCTGTAACTCAAGAGATACAAGTGGGTTGCCCCACCCCTCGAGAATTAGTGAGGACGGATCGGCTTAACACCGGTTTTCTGTGAGGCCATGATATCAAATCAGTCGAGGCGACATATGTGTTGAAAAATTGGTATCCCACGATTCCAAAACTTACATAACCAATCTTTCATGTAATACCAGTAAAAACAGTGTAACATCACATAAAACATTTCCAAGAACAGAAATTAAGCACGTCATTAACAATGAAACACAGTACTTAGACTTCGCATACGAGACTTTTCCGTTAACAATACCCACCCATACATTTTCTTAAACAACCCGCAATCAAACATTTTACGAGAGGCTAGGAAATAACTATCACATAATCCGAGCCTCCTATGTCTGTATAACAGATGTCGAAAAAAAAAAAAAAAATAAATAAATAAAGAACAGCCACGGGGCTTGCCAAATACAAGAATACAATTCTCCTCAGAATGATATTTAGTCGTAAATCATAGATTGAGGCTCTTTTGTGTCTCCTCGTATTTATTCCTTTTTGGTTGGCTGGTTCTGAATAGGAGCTGAACTTTGAAAAAAATGGAAGTACATGCATTCATCCTAGTTATCTTGGCTCATTTATGGACTGATAATTTTAAGCACGTTAAATCTAATGTTTTGGTATATTTTCCCAATTAACTATACTTTAAAAAGTTTGCAATGACTGCCGTCATGGACCGACGACCTACATGGATCGGAAGCGAAGCATTTTGATTGATTGAACGTTAAAGTTCGATGCTTAGTGCTTGTAAACATAATAAGCGGCGGACTTGCGATCAAGAGATCGTGGGTTCAAATCCTGACCAGTACACTACCGACGTGAACACACTCCTAACACAAGCAGCTTAGCGGGAGGGGTAACGGGAATACTAGTAATTTCGATTGCTAGTATCCTTACAAAAAACATGCATATGTATATTTACCGTGGTATGGCTATTGGTTAAATATGTATTATATACATACATTTATCTATTCTGGATCGAGAGCTCAAGAATAAGTTAAGCTCACCTTTAAGTTAAAAAATGCAGCATCATTTGTACATTCTTCTTCGCACCGTCAACTGCTATAGGCCTCCACCAAGTTTTGCCACAACACATTATATATATACTACATAACTTTAATACAAAACTTCGCTTATTGGCTCCAACTATGACTACAACTAAACAATGAAGGTATGAGAAGCACTATAGGTGTTTGTGACAACTTCATGACAGAAAGCTGAAATTCCACTACTATGTTAATACAACTAAAGTAAATTTAACTCGCTGTAGAGATTATCTTACTATAAATTGAAGTAATTATTGAATCAGTTTTGACGATGCCGTTATTTTTGTTATGAATATATAATTTGTGGGATGTCATTCGCTCCTGTGAAATTATATTATTGCAGGTTTCCTGGGTATTATGTGAATAATAAAAACGGATTATTCTTTAACCATTTACTTTTTGAATTTGTATTGACGTAAATTACAATAAATAATAGAAAATAAACGCTAAAAGGCTTAATTTCTTATTTGAAAAAAATAGGGGGCATGACCATGGCCTCATAGAAAACCGATGTTAAACAATTTAATCGTTGCTTTTCACAGAGAGTTTGAGTTTTGAGTTTAAGCCTGTCCGCATAGGCAATCACTTGGTCGAGTGCATGGACCAGGTTAAATACCTGGGAACTGTATTTCACGCTTCCGGTGACATCGATTGTGATTTCAAGGCACACATTGCTGCCGCGTGGGCCAAATGGCGTGAGATGACTGGTGTTCTTTGTGACCCCATAAAGCTGGTCAGGTTGTAGGGACAGGTCTATAAAACCATCATTAGGCCTGTCCTTTTACATGGCTGCGAGGCGTGGCCATTATTGGCGCGACAAAAGCAGGAGCTGAATGTCACGGAACATAAATGGTCACGTCTTGCGGCAACCGCCGAGCTACTTAGGGAACAAATGTCCGGCCATGCCACCTCCGCCGGGCCCCGGTAGGAGGGAAAGACCCAAGAAGTGCTGGCTTGACGTCGTAAGAGATGATATGCGTGGCAATGGTCTCACATCACGGGATGCCGATTGAGTCGGAAAGCAGAAACCGAGCGTTATACGCAAACGAAAAAAAAAAATGACTGTCTAAAAGTTTACTAAAAAGCAAGATGACAAGTTTACTAAAAAGCAACAGTTGGTGACGAAAGTTATAGTTCAGATAAACTAATTAGTACGCGTACAACTAATGTTGGCTAACGAATGGAACTACATTTCCAATAAAACATCAACATATCTCGTTAAAAGTACTACATTAGAAGTACACAAAGGAAATATCTTTACATGGTATAAAATAAAGTCGCTTTTTCTGTTGTGTTCGTGTTGTACGCTTAGATATTTTAAACTAACCAACGGATTTTAATAACGTTTTTCCGCCGTTTAGGTCACCAGGGACTTCCTTTCTCACCAGGGACTTCCTTTCTAGGGTATACCTGGTTCCCCGGCTATTAGTACCCGAGACGGCGTGCGGTTTTAGTCGGTTCGAGTCCGACATGCCACCGACAGGTGGTATCCGAGGGGATTTCCGCACGGAAACAAAAAAAAAAGGAGGAAGGTTTAGGTATATGTAATGTATTAGACATGCACCTCATACTAGAGAAAATCCAAAAATTGCAAATGCTGTTTAAACCTTACGAGATAGACCAAAATAATGTACTACAGAATTGTATATCTTAAATGATCTACAAAAAATCCACGATAGTATATATCTATCTCCTAAGTATCACACACAGGATCAATTTTTATCTTTAAAATATTACAAAGAAATAATGTGTTATTAATTATTAAATTAAAATATTTAGGTTTAAAATGCAGGGGCCCAACAACGGGGTGCGTGGTCCGGAACCTCCTTGTGGTGCACCCTGGGCAACGGAGACGGCAGCGCCTCTCTCCCTAGGTGGGAAAGGCGCTGCCGCCTGCGGCCAATTCCGGCCGAGGTGGGAACGGCCCGTCAAGGGCTGTTCGGAGGGCTGCTTTCCGCATGTCCCTCTGTTTGGCAGAGGGCATAGGGGAGAGCGGGCTGGGGGCGGACGGGTCCACTGCCGCTGGCTCTGTCCAGAGGTGGTGGACACTGGTCTGACGCAGACCACTGTCCGGCCATGTCGTAACCCTGACTGGCAACAGTCAGGAATGACGGCTCTTTGAGG